TCTTCAAAACTAAATTCCCCAGTCCCAATCCACCTTCCTCTTTCCTCCTACACACTATTCCCCAATTTATTAAGTGATCCTTTTTTTCCTCCCCTGGCTCCCACAGAAAATTTCTCATTAATTTCTCTAGTTTCTTGGCTTCCCTGACCAGAATCCTAAACACAGAGAAATGATAAATCGGCAGATTTGCTAAGGAAGCTCTCAATAAGGTAACTCTACCCCTTGAAGAAATATAGTTCCTTTTCCACGAGGCTAACCTTTTCTCAAACTTTTCTAAAATCGGGGCCCAAAATGTGCTGTCCTTAGGGTTGGCTCCAAGAGGAAGACCTAAATACTGTAAAGGCCAATAGGAAATAGGACAACCTAAAGACTCAACCACCGACTCAAGGGTCCTCTCATCCAGATTCACTCTCACCACACAGCTCTTTTCCAAATTTATTTCCAGATTTGATACTCCAAAAAGCACTCTATCAAAGACTTGAGATTATTTACTGTTCCCCTATCACCCCCTTCACAAAAGACTATTAGGTCATCAGCAAACTGTAAATGGGTCACCCTAATCCCGTTCCTTCCTATCCTCCAGCCTCTCACTACACCTTCCCTGTCTGCCTTCGAGATCAAGCTACTAAAGACATCTGCAACTAGGGTAAAAAGAAAAGGGGAAAGGGGGTCACCTTGCCTTAAACCTCTAAGAATTGGGAAAAAATCCCTGACTACCCCATTAACCAAGACTGAAAAAAGGCAAGAACTTATGCATCCCTTTATCCAATTACACCATCTAACTCCAAACCCACAACACCCTAGGATTTCTAGTAAGAAGCTCCAATCCACCAGATCATAGGCCTTTTCTAAGTCCAGCTTGCAAACAAACCCTTGCTTTCCAAACTTTCTCATCTCCTCCACACATTCATTCGCTATTAGAATCTGAATTGTTATTTGTCTCCCTTGCACGAAAGCTCCCTGTGCTTGGCTAATGATGGAGGGTAGCACTACTTTAATCTTCAAGGATAACACTTTAGCCAGGATTTTGTAAATGCTAGTCACCAAACTAATCGGCCTAAAATCTTTAGGGTTTTTTGCTTCTTTTCTCTTAGGGATTAGAGCTATGAAAGTGGCATTAACTCCGGGGCTTACTTTGCTATTTACTTCAAATTCCTTAAACACAACACAAAGGTCTTCTCTTACCACATTCCAACAATCTTGATAGAAAGCCATGGTGAAGCCATCTGGTCCAAGGGCTATGATTAAAAAATGAGACAAGAAGAAGAAGAGAAAAAAAAAAAAGGAATAACAACAAAGAAAGAAAGTGTGTTAAAAGAGTATAAGGAAAAACATAAGTCTAATAGAGGAAGTTCTAAGAGTATCATAATGAAGAGGTGGAGGAGGAATATTGCAATCCCTACCTTCCTCTTTCTCTTCCCCCTTTCTTCCACACCACAATCTTCTCTTCTTTCTCCTTTAGTTTGTCTCTTGTTGTTGTTAATTCTATCAATTGAATAGAATTAGCCAACAAATGGCATTAGCCCCTTCTCCTCGTAGAAGAGGGGTTTATATACAGGAGAGAGGTGGTTAAGTAACTCCCCACTCCTCTCTTCTTAGAGTGCCAATTGTCACCCCACTTAAAATGGGTTGAGGGAAAAAAAACTCTTCCTTCTCAAGGTGACAAGTGTCCCCCCGCTTAAAGTGGGTTAAGGAGGGAGAAGAAAACTTTCTCCCCTAGGATGACATGTGTCCTCCCCCCCACTTAAAGTGGTTAGAGGAGGGAAAGTAACTCTCTACCCTAAGTGACATGTGTCCCCCCACTTCAAGTGGTTAAAGGAGGGAAAATAAATCATTCTTACTAGGGTGACATGTGTCCCCCCCCACTTAAAGTGGTTAGAGGAAGGAAATTAACTCTCTCCCCTAGACATGTGTCCCCCCACTTCAAGTGGTTAAAGGAGGGAAAATAAATCCTTCTTCCTAGGGTGGCATGTGTCCCCCCCACTTAAAGTAGTTAGAGGAGGGAAATTTGAAGGGATGAGAGATCCACCATACAGATGGCCGAACCCTGTAGAAAGGTTGGGCGAAATTTCAAAAATTTCTCTCTCTCCCATCTATGAATCGAATTCCCTATTTTAGAAAACTGCATTTTCAATGATAAATCTTGAACCAAACCAGACCAGATCTGAAACCAAAAAGGAGGAGAGGGATATACCTGATACGAATTAGCAGTAACTCCCAATGAAGGTGTTCACGCCCAAGGAGAAAACCAAAACCTACTTCCACTGAAGATGACACAGTGTGAGGTGAAGCAAGATCAGTAGGACGGCTCTTCAGCAAGAACCGAATTCTTCAGCAAGAATGGAGTAAAGGGATGGTGAGCACGACTTCAGATTGCTTCTTCTACCAAGAGGCAATATCAAGAACAATTCTTGACCACTCCCACAAGTGGAGATCGAACTGGGTAGGCAAGAACAGGGAAGAACTCTGCAGTTTGTTGCGTCTTGTCAGGCGTCTTTTTCATGTCTGCCCTACTCTCTTATTTATAGCCTTAAAGAGACAACCTCCTAATCTGATTAAGAGTTTCCTGATCCAAATCTTTATTTGGATCTGGACTCTTTAAGTGATAAGGATAATCCTTTATCTTATCTACAGTTCAAAATCAACTTAATCCTAATCAAATTAGGAGTTTCCTGATCCAAATCTTTATTTGGATCTGGACTCTTTAAGTGATAAGGATAATCCTTTATCTTATCTACAGTTCAAAATCAACTTAATCCTAATCAAATTAGGAGTTTCCTGATCCAAATCTTTATTTGGATCTGGACTCTTTAAGTGGATAAGACTTATCCTCTTATCCTTATCTGCTGATCCAAACCCAGATCCGCCCCTATTTAATTAATCTAATTAACCCAATTCGAAATTGGGCTTTAGGCCCATTAAATTTATGTGCTCACTTAACCTCTTAACTTGCAGCCCAGTTAGCTCTCTTTGTATGGCGTGGGACCCAAACATTAATCTACACATCAGCCACGTGGGTTCAGCCCAACCTTTGTTACAAGGCCTAGCCGAATTCACTGTAGGAAACAGTGAACCCCTGAGTCCATCACTATGGACTCTATATAGACCCAACATTTACACTAAATGGTCCTTGGGTCCAGCCAACTTATGAAAACCCAAGGACTGTGGGCATGCAAGATTAGCCCATCAGGTATTACCCTCAATGGTCATACACTTAACCTCTCAACCCATAATGATCAAACATTGTCCGACAAGAGAGGACCTCTCCCTCGGTTGCAAGGAACAGTTTTGCACTCTCTACTCACATGGATCCCAGGAATTAAAACCTTTTTGCAAACATTTTGAAACCATAATATATATATATGTATATTTTTATATAAATATATTTTGCAAAAACAAATTTCAACGGTTGAAATCAACTACCGGCAGTTTAGGTTTCCATCAGAGAGAATGCATTCTCCGATCATTCACTTTGTCCGACAAAGGGGCTAATCCTATCACTATGATCACCCACTCAGGTGAATTCTCAGACTATCCCAACATACCCAGGTTTGACCCCCTCTATGGATCTCACTAATTGGCATGTCAAAGATAGCCCAATCCGACACCTAGTGCAGTACCATAATCGAGTCTAGGGGTCAGGTGTAACACTCCAGTTTTTCCCATCTATCTCCAAGGTCTAGGGTAATACTGAAATTTTGGTCCGATTCAGGGTTTAAAGAAAACTCACATTGCATGTACCTCAGGTCTCACCCTGGTAGCTGAGACAAGCCACCCCAACCAACTTGACAGTACATCACTGTCAGCCTTGGAAAAATAAATCTCCCCAGATCTATCCAACGGCTGTGAAAATTCTAAACTAACACGAGTATCTTAAGTGTCTAGTTTAAGGGTATTTCACAGAAACACACCACAATGATATGAATCAATTATGTACTTTAATCATTTACAATAAATGTCAAAAGATACATCAATCTAATTGGAGTTAAGGGCATAACTGTCTAACTAAATTAACTTTCTCCCCTAGGGTGACATGCGTCCCTCCACTTCAAGTGGTTAAAGGAGGGGAAATAAATCCTTCTTCCTATGGTGGCATGTGTCCCACCCACTTAAAATGGTTAGAGGAGGGAAAATAACTCTCTTGTTACAATAGGACAAGTGGCATTCCCTTATAAATAAGTGGGATACCTCACAAGAATTTAATTAATAAAGATTTATTCTTTTAGGGCCTGATGTTCCATTAAATGGGCTCTACTGCAGGCCCATTAAATGCTTATTGCATTACAAACAAGCCCAATTAACTTGGGGCCTGTTGCTCATTAAACTAGACTACAGGCCCCTTTCTTTACTAAAATATTTTAGCCCATCAATAAGACTGACTAGGCTTATAAGAAAGCCCTTTTTTTCTTCTTTATTATTATTTTTTTAAGTTTTGTCTAGGAGTATCTTAATAACTTGCTCCCAGTCCAGCAAACTTGAGGACATAACATAGATCAACTAAATAATTTATTATACAATAAAAGCTAAGGTTTAATTTCATGTTTGAAAATAATTTTGAGTTGGCTCAAAGTGGTACTCATGTCCATTAGGTGGGTAATAACATTGTTATTCCACATATCTAAAATATTATTACCAACTTAGGTCATTATACTATCTCTTGCACTCCACATAGCACAAGTAGCATTAATTGGGGAATATGTTGGTTCTAATAATATTTCATGTCAATAACCATGGAAATGGAAATATCCATGGAATATTACGAATTTTTGGACATTTTAACCCTTGAAAGCTACACATATGACATAGACAAGGGACCTTGTTGTCATGGCAAATAATGACAAGACAAAACATAAACAGGGATCTTTCTACAAATACAAGGAGTTGGAGGACTGTTACATTTTGTCATTTTGTGATTTAAGAGGCCAGTGACAACCAGAATCGTGATAGGTGATGCTAGCACCCACCATTTGGGAAATAAGGGGGGTTATGTGAAACCATACCTGTGATCATAAACAAAATTCTTTCCCTTAAAAAAACCACCATCTGGAAATTGCTCCAAATACCGTTGTATCCCACCAAACAACTGCAATAAAAGATGGATGGTATCTGTAAATAAAACAAAATAGAAAACAATAGAGATGTTTTACTTGGTCAATTTTTCATCTTTCAACAAGTGTCTCCAACATAACACTATTATTTTCATGTCCATATAAAAAACCTTGGCATGATTTGGTCTTGTACCAATGATATGTATTCTTCTCGTGGAAAGAGAGAGAGAGAGAGAGAGAGAGAGAAAGAACAAGAAAAAACAATATGTATTTTTCTAAATATTTAAATAAATTGTGTTGCATAAATCATTGATAATATGATACAAATGAACCAATGCAAAAGAGGCTATATTACAATTTTAGAGAATGAGCCAGACATCCAAACATAAATTTAGCAAAAGAAACAAGCTCCCTCTAATAAGCATACAAGTTACATCAACAAACTTCCATCGTCTTTTGAAGATCCTTATTTCCCCTCCAAAAAGAAAAGTTGAGACAAAAGGAGAATTCTGAACTCATTTCTCTCATGAAGAGGTTAGCATCACCCCTATATTTATTGAACATTTATTATAGAGCAAAAAAGTAAAAAGTTAATGGGTGGTTTTGGCCTTTCTCATCGCCATTATTGTTAATATTAGTTTTCTGTCGATAACTGTTCAGTTTTATTACTTTGTATAAAAAAAGGAGTCAACACCACCATCTAAACCTTGTCCCAACTATATGGGGTCGGCCACAAAAAATTATATTCCTAGCACCCTCATAGTTTAGGCCAGTACTTGCTGCCTACCCGGCCCAACTTACATTTATGTCAATCATTTTGTTGGGGGTAATTACATTAATGTCAATCCATCCCATGGATTTTTACGACATCCCTCTCCCCTCAAATATAATTGATTTCTACTTACTCATTGCCAAAGGCATCACCAAGCTGTTTATTGATCTATTAGTCCAAGTGAACAAGGTACTTGTTGTGAGAAGGGCTTATCTCTTGGTTTCTATATTTGGAGTACCTTTTTATTGTGTATCATATGTACCATATCATTATATGTTTCTTTATTCTTTCTTGAACTATAGAAGAGCACAATGGTCCTTTCTCACATTTTGTATTTGATTATTATATAATATAACTTCTTTTGGGAGTGTTCTACATTGGGACACACCCTCCAGGCTGTTTCTCTTCACCTGTACGAACCCTAGTTGTCATGGTATCAGAGCAGGTCTGCTACAGCAGCTTGGGTTCAAGCTTTTGTTCAAGTTCAGAAGACTGGCATTCAAGCTTCCTAATCCTACTCTTGAAGACCACTTAAAGGACTGTTTGAAGGCTCTTCTGCTTAGTACAATTACAACACCTTTTTTCTCTCTACTGCCCAATCCAATCTACGTGTGCTCCAGGATTCTGAGTCGCCCTAAGCTCTAGAAACTGCCTATTCTCTTGGACAGAAGTTCAGGCTCGATTTAAAGGGTTTTGATCCCTTTTCTTTCTTTGACAGACCAGCAACTTGTCTTTTTCTTGGACTGTTATACTCTGGAACTATTTCCTGTGGTTGTTTCTTGAAGGTTTTGATCCTTCTCCCTTTGCCCTGTTGCATTCGTGGTTACTTTTCTCAGATTAGAGGCTGGACCTGTAGCTTTTGAGGGTTTTGACCCATTTTCAGACTTGTTTGAATCTGTATTTTCATCTCAGGACTGCTGCTCTATCTTCTAGAATATTTGGGGTCATTTTCTTGTGAGAACTGACTTGAAGAAAGCTAGTGGATTTCTGTCTTAAAGAAAAAAGGAAGAAAAGAACTAGATTTGAAGAGAAGAAGGGAAGAGAGAGAGAAGAGAAGAGAGGAGAAGAGAGGAGAAAAAAGGGGTTCGGTTGATATCTTTCTGCCACCCCATAAATTTCCTAATATAGTTTAGTTTCCTTACAAGAATAGGAGATAAAAAGGTAAATCCTAGTCCTATCTAGTATAAAACAAAACAACATAGGATAAGGCCAGCCGGCCCAACTTAAAAAGAATTAAAATTACTAAGTGTGGGTATGGAACCATACACACTAGAGCCTAAGTGTGGGTATGGAACCTCACACTCGTGGCTACTAACTATTTCTACAGCTCTTTTTGGTGCTGAATCCCCTATCCCTTTGTTATTTATATCTTCAAGTCTGATTTAGGTTGGATTACAGCAAGGCTTTTCTTTATTACTTGCTTTAATATCACATTTTCCAGTTGTGGAATGTACTCTCTTGGTATTTTCTAGCTAAAATGGCTACAAGCAGGAGAGATATTCTTGCTATCAGATTTGATAGAACTAATTACTTATGGAAGTTCCACTTCCAGTTTTATGTTGAGGAGCAGGGTCTCCGGGGTCATACTGATGACTCTTCACCTAGACCTAATGAATCTGTTAGCAAAGGAGTTACACAATGGAGAATTGATGATGCCAAAATTGTTTCCTGGATTCTTGGATCAATTGAGACTGATATAGCTATTCTAATGAGAAGCCTAAAGACAGAAAAGGAAATGTTCAAGTACATGGAGAAAATTTATTAAAAATCTAATCTCTCCAAACAATATCAAGTAGAGACAGATTTTCTCCTATAGCCAAGGGGAGAAGAAAATTCAGGAATGTTAAGCAGGTTTTGTTAATCTGTGGATAGAGTATGAATTGATTTATATGGGTGAATCCTTGACAGCCTATTGTGTCAAAGTAATGAAAGAACATTTTGATAGAAGAAAGATCATGCATATCTTAATGCACTTACGACCAGAATATGAGGTGATCAGATCCAATATTCTAAGTAGAGATACTACTCCTTGCCTATATGTGATTTTGGGAGAGCTTTTAAGGGAGGAAACAAGACTTGTAACTCAGTCCACTATCAGTGGGAGGTAGGATATGGGGGTAGAAGCAGTTTTCTTGGCAAATAAGTCCACACCTAAACGGGATTTATCCAAGGTACAATGCTATGAGTGTAAAGAATATGGTCATGTGGCTTCTCGTTGCAAAAAGAAAAATATATGTACCTACCCAAGAAGACACACCATCTTGTTGTAGACCTTTGGGTGTCTAGGCAACCCGCCCAATCAACATAAGGAGATAAATCCAAAGAAGGTGACGAAGAGAAAAACAAGCCATGAGACAAAGTACCACGAAGGTATCTAATAATTCGAAGGACAATAGACATATATGGTTGTTGAGGGGCTGAGACAAATTGGCTAAACACTTGGACAGCATAGGAGATATGAAGGTGAGTCATGGTGATATAAATGAAAGAAGCATCACGAAAAGCAAGAACCCAATCCCAAGTATCAATTTCTAGGAGAGCCTGAATTTCAGTATCCATAACTTCTTTCCAATGTGGAACAGCGATAGCCTGTCAGTAAGTCTTAGAAATCTCTATAGATGACAAAGCTGCAGAAAAGGAGTTGCGGGGTGGAGAGAAACCATAGCAGTCAGGAGGTTTAGAAACTCGAGTAGAACGACATAATGGTGGTGGAGAAGGGGTGAAACATCAAAAAAAGAAGTAGGAGAACTTACAGTGTCAGAGGAGGATAATGGACCTTGAACCAGTAGTGTTGGAGCTGGGGCAGTAGATTCTGGAGCAGCTAACCACCTAATGGCATACTGAATGAGAGAGATGGAGCAAGGCCAGATGTGGAGTCCAAAGAACATGCAATATCAAAGGAGCATAGAACCGAAAAAGAAGGTGCAGGGCACTTTGCAACATGACTAAAAAACGTGATATTTCCAAGGAATACAACATTTCTAGATATCCTAATGCAACGAGCTTGAGGATCAAAACAAAGAAATCCTTTATGGTCAGAGTTGTACCCCACAAAGGCACACATGGCAAACTAAGGAGTGAGTTTAGTCCGTTCATTGGAAGGAACATGGACAAAGCACACATCCAAAAACGTGAAGAGAAGAGAAGTTAGGTGGCAGATGAAACAATCTCTGTAATGGTGAAGAATTACCAAGGGCAGAGGAGGGAATCAAGTTAATAAGATGAACAACTGTACTGGCCACCTCTACCCATAAGAATATGCATGTTCTTGCATTTTGCAATTTCGTTCTATTGTGGAGTGCTAAGACAAGACTTTTGTGGATGTATACTCTGTTCCCTCAAAAAAGATTAGAAGTTTCCATCAAGATATCCCCCCCCCTAAATCTAAGTGGAATATTCCCACAGTGGTGTTAAATTGATTTTTCACCATAGCCAAAAAAAAGTTTAAATATGGAGAAAACCTCTGATTTCTGTCTAAGGAAGTATATCCAAGTATAGTGGGTACAATCATCAACAAATATCACAAAATATTTATAACCCAAGTGCAAAGTAATAGGAGACGACCAAAGATCACTATGGAGCAACTTGAAAGGAACATCATAATGTGCAACAGAAGTAGGAAATGGCAAAAATATGACTTGTACTCAAACCAAAGAAATACATGATTTGTTAACATGAGCAAAAGAAGTAGCTTTAGAAGACAAACATCCAAAACAAAACAAAAGTTCAAGTTTATTAGCAAAAGGGTGGCCAAGACGTCTATGCCATAAGTGCCACCCATTATTTCTACAAACATGTTCTAAACTTGGAATAGTAGAAAGCAGTCAAGTGTACACCCCTTACCCTTCATTGTCCAAATGTGTTGGTCCTCGATAATACATACGTCATGAGAAAAAGAAAAAATGTTACCATCCTCAACAAGTTGTCCAATCGAAATTAAATTAGTAGTAAATTTAGGGACCAGAAGTGCTTTAGGAAGATAAAACTAAGAAGCAGAAGCATGCAAAGACAAATCACTACATCTAATCATTTCGATATGTTTATTGAGGGACTGGGGTTTAAGATACTAACTAGAATGTGCCCCCATCATATGGTTAGAGGCACCAGAATCAATCATCCAAACATGATTGGGTGAAGAACAATAAAAGGAATACTTACCAGATAGACCAATGGCTAAAAATGCAGAGGAAATAGCAGTAGATACTAACTATCGCACCTTTTCCTTAGTAAGAATACCAAAAGGCTCACTCTTGGTTGTGGGCC